CACTCTAGGGTGGATCACCGTTATAGCAGTGTTATTTTTGTAGACGACAAAATTATGTTTTCACTGATAAAAACAAAACTACAACTAAATAAAAATAAAGTGATTATAACAAAAAGCTATAACAAATATTAATGAAATTTCAGTCAAAAGACTATGACTAAAACAAAATCAAAATGTGCTGAAAATTAACACTGCACAAACTGTAGTGGATACATTGCGTGTTGATTTAATCTAAATGTTCAAAATGATCTTCCATGAGACGTCAACTTTATATTCATTTATGTTAGTTTTATTTATATACTTAAAATTACAATTACAGCAATGTTCAAGGCTGGAGTTGACCATCTTTGTAAATGTAATAAGAGGGTCTGCAGACATAATGAAACAAACTAAAACCAAGGGAGTTGTCGGTATGTTAGTTACTAACAGCTTGCAAAAATCTGTACTGTAGCTCCCTTTAAATCTCTGAAAACTCCATCCTCAGTGTTGTGACAGTAGTCATAGACATAACTTCACAGCCAAGGCTCCTCTACAGGTACTTGTGAATAAACCTGTTATGGGAGGCCAGTACACGTACAGCATCCATTGGATGGGTGCACGTTGTACAAGTACTTTGACTGATAAGATACAGAATGTGTACCTCAATATAAGGACTGAGTGATTTTAGAAGATCACCTTTGGTAAGTCAGCCTTGAACATCTGCCAACATGAGTTATTTATTATCCTACATCAGGAGTAAATTCTGCAAATCATACTTATAACATGTCTGTGTAAAAGAGGTCAATTTTGATGCAATTATATCATAGTTTCATCAGCGTGAGGTGATCTATAGTGAGAAAAACAAAACACTTTCAAGATTCTTAAACGAAAAGGCATGGTTAGTGTGATGTAACTATAGCAACAAAACAAAACGGTAATAATTAAATAAACAAGTACTAGGGTTTCAGAACACCATTCAGTATCAGAGGTCAAATGGCGTGATACCTGGTTAGTGTGCTGTAGCCATAGCAACAACAAAAAACAATCTTGGGATAATTAATCCGTGTAAATAGATACATTCAATATACAGAATAACTTGAAATGTGTATTGTATTCAATTTGCTTCCTGTTGGCAAATGCATATTATATTAAGGAAAACAATCTGGAAAAAAGAGTTTGATACTCACAATCTGCCAGCCCCAGCCATACTCCAAATTCCAATATATAATTGTTAAAATCTAGAAGTAACATTTAGCATTCAGTTGTTAACTAGTATTTTCGCCCATGTTAGCGATTTATAGTTGACTTAATTAATATACAGAATGATGATTTGAGAAGTGACATGTTCTGCTTTAAGATATGATTCATTGAATGTATTAGTTCCTTTTTATGGCAGCTCAGTGTGAGGGACTATTTGAAGTAGTTAAAAGAGATAGTAAAAGGAAGAACGAATGTTTTCGATTACATTGTATACAATACACATATATTATACAACTAATTTAATGGCTGCATTTGTTTTGACAGATGTGTCAAATTATCCCTTTGTGATACACATTAACACAAGTAACAGGGTTTAATGGTCAGTGTCAATACCGGGACATTAACGTCCTTTTATTTGGTCCGAAATTTCCCAGACCAGTTTATCGCATGGGTGGGACACCCTGTACACTGGCTATTATACTAGATGAAAACACTAAAATAACACCACAATTTTGTATCAGGACAAATGACAATTTAAAAGGGCAACTTGGGGATTTGTTTCTTGGAGCAGGGAGAGTGTGAATAGCTATACTGCAAACGTGTTCGGATATTCCAAGACTATTATATTTAGTTAAATCCTAAATCCCATAGATACTTGCCCTAACCCAGAGCCTTATGTATCTCATTGAAGACCTATATCCCGCAATCACAAGCAACTTAAAGAAATTACACTGTGTTAGGGAAACAAGACACGAGTAGGATTTGGGAATTGTTATAGACAGCAAACTAGGCAACAATGTGCTATGTCAGTCAGCAGTTGCTAAGGCCAATAAGATTTTGTCATGTATAAAAAGTGGTATTACTTTTTGCTTCTTTTGAATCAATGGTAAAACCACACCTTGATTATGCTTTGCAATTTTGGACACCTGTTTTAAAAAAAGCATATTATGGGAAAAGAAAGAGGTGGGCTACTAAATTAATAAGTGGAATTAAAGATTCTAGTTACAAAGAAAGGCTGACCAAATCATTTTTTTAGTTTAGAAAAATGGTGCCCTAGACGGGACAGAATAACATTATATAAATATATTTGAGGCCAATACTAACCATCGTCTGGAGATGTATTCATAAAAAGGACTATATATAGGATACAAGGTCACCCATCTAGACTGGTAGAAATGAGATTTAGCCTAAGGCAAAGGAAAGGGTTCATTTTTGTAAGAACAATAAAGATGTGGAATTTTCTGCCTGAAGAGGTGGTTTTATCGGATTGGATGACTTACTGCAAAGACATACTATTCAGGGATATAATATTAATTATGTGGGCTAACAGCTTCTTGATCTAAGGAGAAATCTGACTGCCGTTCTGGGGTCAAGAAGGATTTTTTTCCTAGTTTGTTGCAAAATTGGAAAGAACTTTAAATACATTTTTTGCCTTCTTTCAGATCAACTGCAGAAACCAATGTGAAAAATAGTATTTTTTTTATCCTATGTAATGACATAATAGCCCCTTCTTTCTTAAGATGTGTCCAAATAACAATCTTAAAATTTTAGTCAAGGTTTCTCTTTTAAATAACTATAACTATCCATAGGTTGCCAAGAATATCAAACAAAGTAGGATGTGATTAAAATGAGATTACAAAATTATACTACTGGTAGTGAACACTGAGTTTTACATTGACTGACCTGTCATTGACCTAAAATACTTTTATTAATATCAATTCAAATGTTTAAAACAAGCACATAAGGGAAAATATAAATAAAAACAGAGGTGTATGTGTGTCAAGATGAGTATTCTCAAGGTGTGAAATGAAACTGATGGCCTTACCTACAATGAAATGAATTAGCAGTAAACATATAGAGGCAAAGATTGGGTCCTGGAATTATTATAAAGAAAGGGGAATACTGGATTTGTTCCATTTAAGCAATAGCACTTTGGGATCTAAATGAAAAAATATTATAGAATACTTTTTTTTTTTACTGTTTATAAAAATGTTGTGGGGTTTTGGTTTGTTATTTTGCTGTTTCAAATAAACTTTTTTTCTAGTATTGTATATTTTTTTTTAGATTTAACTGCTGTTACTGAATTTCTAGTGTTTTTTTTCCATTGGATCTTCTTAGCTTCTTTATCCCACTTTTCACTTAGACTTTTTTTTTTTAAAGAGTTTCTGTAAACACACAATGACCTATTTCACACTCTGGAGATAATTCTAGTAGCATACCCATATCAATCTTCAATTCCATAAGCGAACCTGCACATTGTTAAGGCACATTTTTTTTTTTTTTTTTTAATGGAATCCGAAGTAATCAGAAACAAAGACTGATAGTTTGCATACAAGAAACAAGCAGATAATAGCATACTATTGCATCTAAATTGCTTTCCACAATGTGTTATTCAAGTATTATATACAAACTGGATAATCCATACAGTATCCCATACAGTTTCTATTGAAGGTTTTTTTTTAGTTTTTTTTTTATGGACTTCTCAGGTCCAATGCATTTTAACTAATTATATTTCAGCTTATAATTTTGACTACAGAAGCAGCAGTTGGCATACACGGGCAGTGCCATGTTCCCACGGGCTTGTCTAATTATTGCTGTCTGATAATGCAAGGCAGCTGCAGGGCTTGTCCTCATTTGCATTATGGACAGGTGGCTCACTATTTGTTCCTCAAAAGAACTGTGCATTTGCTGCAGGAATCTACAATTCCATTTCTGTCTGTGTCGTTTGAATTGCCAAACCCATTCCCACCCTTTGTCCTGTAATCTTCAAAATCTTGAAATTACCCTACACTGAGCTGCACAGTCTCATCATAAGAGGTGAAGACTTCATGTCCCTTAAAGCTAAATTATCCTGTGAGAGTGTTGTTATAAACTAACCATACTAAACCCTTTTTCAGATGTGATCTGTTAATTAAAGAGACATTATAAGCACACAGGCCACTTTACCTCATTGATGTGCTCTGGATGCACTGTCCCTCTCCCCCTTAGGCCTGCAATGAAAAACATGGCAGTTTTAAAGAAACAAAATCAGACAGCCCCCAGTGTCACAGAATTTGACTCCATGAAACAGTGCTGGACGTCATCACGCTGTGCATGAGGACATCCAGTGTCAAGCAAAACCCCATAGGGGAGTCAATTCTTTTCTAAGGGGAAGGCCTAATGCTCACTCCGCGCTCGCTGTGCATTAGGTTCACACCATTGACTGACATCAATGGAGGAGGAGCATGACCCAGCACGGAGGAACATCGGTGCTGGAATAAGGTAAGTGAATGAAAGGGTTTTTTTAAATGCTTTCGTTAAAGTGGGGTGGTTGGAGGGGTGGGGGGGGACTTGGGGAAGGGGGAGCACAGGGCAGAGAACACTATAGTGTTAGAAATACATCTTTGTATTCCTAACACTAAAGTTGTCCTTTAAAGTTTTTATTTAACTAACTAGAAAAGAAATGCAATAATGTTATGGTTGCCCTCAGTCCTTGGATACAGAATACCTATCCATGTTTCAATCACATTATAGTTAAATAACAACATTTTATCAATATCTGTTTGTTTTTGTCATTCAGAATCTATGAACATTTTAAACAGAAACTTTTGAAAACTAAAATCTTCGCCAATGTTTGTAACTGTCCGCACATATTATAATTTTCTTCATGTCATTGTAACGCATATTGTTCCCCCCTCTAGTTTTATACAAAATGTTGAAAAATATAACGAAAGAGAAGTATTTATGTTCTTAAAATTTTATTGGTGAAGACTGTGAAGCATGATGTTTGCTTTGCCACTTTTTTATACGTAATTTTAAAGAACGCTTAGGAACCTTAGTCAGTTAGTATCAGATTATACTATATCAGGACATGTTCAAGTGATCACGTTATATCTCTATAAATCACTGTTGCACCATTGTATGATAATGATGTTGTTTTTTTAAGACCAACGCTCTGCTTACCTGTAGTAAATTTCAAATAAATTTGGATTGCTAATGCACTACCGAGATGTGCTATATCATTCGAATTGCTGTTTAGCTGGACTGCAGGACGGTGCACCACCGTGAGATTGAGGGGAACAATTATGTGTGTGCTGGTTAATTACTACTGTTCTGTCTTCTCACTTCAGTCATCCTGCCAATGTTGTCATCTTGCACTGGAAGTCATGTTCTCACGTCAGGTATTTCCTCGTAGGTCACCCTCTCATCTCAGGGTTTTATGTTAATCTCTAAGACTGCAGGTTGCCATGAAGGATTTTTCCAGCTACAGGTCTCTCACTTCAAGAATCCCTATTCTCATTTCAGAGTTATCTAATGATTCAAAAACAGAGAATATAAAAACTCTGAGATCGAACAAAAGCTTAGAGAAACTCAATAGCTTGCCCATCAGTAAATCCCCGCTAAGGTCTTAAAATAGTTTTTGCTCACCTATACCATTTCGGGGAGAACGTAATCCAACCAATTTGACAATTTGATTCTGGACTGCCATTACGGGTGTGATCAGTCTGATATAATTTAGGAATAGGTTCTCTCTGTAATGGCGCAAAACAAACATTGAGGATACCTGTAAGTAAATGACACTCAAATAAATCACTCACATCTTAGAGAGCTATGATCAACGCTCTGTATGATGTGCTTGGTGAAGTATACATATAACATTATTAAATACATGTAGTAATTTAAAAGTAAAATTATAACAGCAAGCATAAGAGACCATTTCAATAAATAAACAAATGGAGGTTAGTGTAAAAAATCTAAAGTCTCAGTAGGAGCATATAGACACATTAAACATGTAGCTTTCATCAGGAAGAACATTATTTCTTTACTCAATATTTTGGCTAGTGCAAAATACTACACCATATTGCCATGTGGGTTTTGTCTTACGACATAACTTCCTCTTCAATCAAGTGTCAGTATTGATTTGTTCACATTATCGTTTGAATATTCATGTTTTTTAAATTGACAGAATTATAAAATATTACTTTACTTTTTACTTTTCATGAATAATAAGGGGTAGATGCATTTGTAGTGTGTTGCTATGCAAAATGTGTGAGTTTACGAGCTTTTACAAGTATTTTCTAAAATGCACTTCCAAGGTCAACCATCGCTGGCATAGAAGAATAGCTTATATTCTCTGTTAACATCAGAGATAATGTAGTTCACAAACACTGGGGGTGCCAAGGATAGCCTTCACCGGCATAGGGGAACGAGCAAGAACATTTTAAGAACTAATGCATTTGGACTTATGTGCTGAGTACATTGATCTGTGAACTGTTAAGAACATTTGATAACTAGATTTTGGAACTTTGGCTAAATAAGGTGTATATTTTACACTTTTATAACATTAAACTCAGACAAGTAGTAGATGAACCCCTAATAAAAACATGCCTGAATTTAATTATGCATATTCTTCATCGTGGGTCTATATATCTCCCCTTTTAACTCCAGCCAGACTTTCTGTGGCTGTCGAATCACAGACTTTCCAATGAGACGTTTTCGCAAGGCAGGTGCTCTGGGCAACTGCAGCCTCTTTAGTTTAGCTCCACTGGACCAGGAAGTAACATGATCTCTTGTCTGCTTGAAAGCAGGGGGGTTGGTGGAGGTTACCAGATTAATTTATAAAAAATGTAAACGTCTATCAAAATCTGCACTTTTTGTAAAATTAAAAAAGTAGGATACACTCTTCGCACATAAAGAACTTCAGCAAGCTGAAGTGCTTTAGGGGTTTGGGGTGTCCCTTTAAGTGTAATTCCTGTTTGAAGCAGTAACCTTACAAACAGCAATACAGTTATATGAAAAGCCCAACTTGCAGGAAAACACGGGGTTATTGCAAACATGTTTTATACAAACGACACAGCACCAAAAGAAATGTAAAAGTTTCAAAAAGTAAAATACTTTTTTTTTTTAAAAACTAGCTTTTAGTAAGTAACCAGGCAGTAGAGATCAGAATGTAGCAGGTGTCTTCATGTTTTGAAATATATAAAGGTAAACTGAAAATATAAGCTCAAGTCAGCAAGTTAATACATGTAGCTAGGCCAGTGACTCAACTGGTGTTGTCAAGCTGAGAAGGTTGACAGATAGTATTCACAATGATATGAAACAGACTTTATTGAAGGATGACAATCATTGTTGCTGGAATTTTGTTGGTATGTGCTGACAGACAGTTTATTACTCCACTCAAGCCCCTATCATATCAATCTGTCAGTCAACAACATTTATTTCAAAAATCACATTGTTTTCTGACCAGCCACCTACTACCCACTCCAACAAGTTTCACTAACAATGCCATGAGTAACTGTCTGCAGACAGTGAGAAATTTGTCTTCTACAACCGGTTAAAAAAGCAAAGAAAAAAGCACTAGCCCAGATCCTTATGCACATTTAAATAACTGGACGTTTTTAGTATTACTCCAATGGTCATTGAAGTGTAAACTCATCTGCTACCTCTTAGGTGAGTCCTACATTAATAATTCACTGTGCTGCTTTTATCTAAAAGGCAGAATCTCTAATGAGACAGAAGGGATATTTTTCTATAACCCCTACCCACTTATTAACCCTTAATAGGGAACTCATGGGGTGGGTGACAGCACTGTAACATGGCTGTGTAATACAAAACCAAATACAAACATATAAAATTAGGCCCTGCACTCAAACACCTGGGCGGCAGCAATCAGTGGTGTATCCTGGTTTTGTGCTGCCCAATGGTCATTAAAGTGTAAGTTCACCTGTCACATCAAAGCAAAAACTCTTAGGTAAGTCCTTCACTTCACTCAAAACAGCTTTTGAGAAAGTTCATTATTGAGATGAATTATGTTGAGCACATTTCAAGCAAATTTCTGCTTACCCAGTCTACTCAAAATATTCGAGCTTATTAAAACTGTTCACCAGAGGTATCCTTTCAAAGGTTGCTCCCAGGATATGTGGCCTTAGACATACGCCTAAGAAAAGTGTCCCTTTAGGGGCAAAGTTATTTTAGCACAATCTGTTTTGTGTAATTCGTTTGTGAGTCCTTGTCTTAAGCTCCTATTTAAATAATTTTTGTTCCATTAAATACTACACTATATGTGTCCTTGTATATTTCTCTCGTTTTAATTTTTACATATGTATATTGTTAATGGTTCAATATATATTTAAGCTAAATGTATCACATTTTGACTGCACTTGCACTTTAGTGTGTTAACACTGGTTACCAATCTTCATGTTTGGTTTTGCCCCAGAGATGTTTTTGTTTTTTTTGACACTTCGAATTGAAAGAGGAAATTCTGTTTACTTGGCAGTAATTTATTTACCGGTACATCACTATTTATATTGTTACACTTTATTAAGTTAGCTTTTTTCTTTATTTCACACTGAGAAAAGGTTAAAGGGACCCTGTTCCATTAACTCTGCAATGTAAAACATTGCCGTTTTTAGAGGAAGTACAGTGAACGAAGTAAGTGACTGAAATGGGTGTGGGGGGGGGAGGGGGAGTCAAACTCTGCTAGATTTACTTTCATGAACCTCAAAGACAGCAAGGGATATAACTAATGGGCTGGTTCCCTGTGCTAGCAGGTTTAGAGTGTTGATTTCTGTGTAAATGTCTCCAGAATCCAATAGCATCCTATGATGTCTACATCAAAGGATGATCTCTTGACTCATGGATGCAAATGAAAGGAAAGCTATGAAGTCAAAAATATTGTAATGCGTTGAAAATTTTCAAAACAAATATTAAACTTGACTTGGTTTGCATGGTTTGGTTCATCTGCCAACAGCAGATCCCTCCCACACCAGGAAGAAACTCTTGTAAGAAGTTTGTCCCCAAAAGTGGTTGCACTAAAGAGCTGTTCTGTGATAGCAGTTCTAACGTAACTGCTAGCAGTTTACTCTTAGTGAAATCTTTCTTGAACTGGACTATGTTAAGCTCTTGGCAGAGCTGTGACTCAAATCTTAGCTCTGAGATAGTGAGCTCAGTCCAAGCTGTGTGTGAGGTGTGCAGATGTCACCCCCAAACCTTGAAAACAATCGATGTAGCTAGCCTAGGAACAAAGTTTCCAGCTGGCTGATTGACAGGAGCCGTAGGTGGAGTCACACCCCAGTCATACACTTTAAATCTGGCAGTGGTGCATATAATTAAAAAAAATATTTCTGGGCTATTGTGCTTAGACTAACCCTACTGTTAATCTTTCATCTTTTTGAACTTTTCTGATGATTTTCTTTACATACATACATACAAACATTACTTTGCATCAAACAAGCCATTGCACAAGAAATAGCTTGAAACAGGGATAGCTAGAAACAGCTTTTGTGATGTTACCTATAAGTGCTCAAGCTGCTGTATCACAAATATCTTGAGTTTCTCTTCCTGCCAAAGTCAACTTAGCATATCATCTTATAAAATCTGAGATTTATTCAGCTGGTTCATAACAGCTACATCTCTTGACATACTTGGATAATAGTGACATACTAAATGTAACATCCCCGGCAAAAGGTTATCATATTATTCATTTTCTTGAAATTGTCATCTTGTTTAAGTCATCACTCTTGGCTGTAATAATATATTTTTTTAAAGTTATTTTTCTATTATTTGAAAAAAAAAAAAAACAACATATGAGAATGATCCATAAAAGTGGAAAAGCATATGTTAATAAAGATGCTTCAGTTGGAATTTTAATTGTCGCACTGAGCTGGAAAGCAGGTGTGGAGAGAGAACCTATTACTAGGAATTTCCTTGCAGAATTAGCTCAGTGCAACTGTTATAGAAATAAACTTTGTTTGGCAACTCACTTAAAATCGAAAGCGTCTGAGACTGAGTAATCATTCAGAAAATGAACTATCTAATAGGCCGTTCTGTCACTTTAAGAAAAAATAACTAAAATATGAACTAGCAAAAAAACCCTGCCATTTCCATCCTGGGCTTGATTAATGATTTTTCTGTCTAATAAAAGGTTCACAAACCATCTGTTTTTCTCCCTAATGCCTTGCCCAAAGGTTTTTCGTTCCTATTTCGGGCTCCAGGCCAACTGACATTCCTCTCTTTTTTCCAATCCTTGTAAACAAACCCCTCTCTCTTTTTAA